TTAACTGAAGCTGGCAACCATCACTGAAATCACTCTTGACATAAGCTGCTTGGATCTCTTGGAAAGAGAGTGGAACCAGCTGAGGGTACACACAGAAAAGGTTCCTCTGTGGATCTTGGACCCAGAATTCACCTATACTTGTCTGATACCTTCTTAAGGAGGACTCCTGTCCAATGTTAAGTTTCTCCTTTCCCCTCCAGAGGCTTCAATAGACTGAGACGCTACGGTGAGCCTAATCATCCAACAAAACTTGATATTTGCCTTTTAAAAAGGCAAACTCAGGTGGAATCCATCTTTTATGTAAACTCCATCTTGGCTGCTTGCCCAGACACCTTATTCTAATTATCCAGGAGTATGAAAACAATAGATTGTCTCCATCACTAAATTTGTTTCATCAGCAAAGGCTTCTCTTAGCTGTGAGTGACTGCAGTTCTCTTTGCTGTGAGGACTCATCATATGAGAGATATTTCATATGTCAACATGACAGCAACCCCATAGTTAAGCTGATGAGACCTGACAGCACCCCAGCACTCAATAGAAGGTGGTATTTGGTGCACTTTTACAGCAGAGAAATAAGCTTGAGAAGCTGGTTTGATACTGCCATCTTAGGGAGAAAACAGCTGACTCAGAATAGCTCTCTCATCTAAAGCCTTAAATAAGTAAGTCTCAAATATCCATGCTATTGACTGAGACATAGACCATCTCTGTATCTCATTTCTCATGTATTGTGAAGGGATGAGAAATCAAGGTCAAGTCAGATTTAAACCTAAGCTACATCTACAGCATCTTAAACTCCACTACCCTTTTCAGTTACTCATATGAAAGATTTCAGATCCCACCTAGAGTTCCTGGAATCCAGATAAGAGAGGGAGACAGTTAATCAACTCATTATGCTTAACAAGAATGGAAGTGAGAGATTTAAGGTGCCCAGTGGCTTCATGGGTATTGTTGTGTGCCAAGTCCCTGACATTATCATTGCTTGTCTTGACTTCACCTTTGCCTGAATATGCAAGTATTCATTCAATAATTTGGGACAGGTTTGGGATATGATGCAGCTAACATATGGGATACTCCATTAAAATGTCCAGTTTCATCACAGTTATTTCAGACATTCCCAAGCATTTGATTTGGGCTTACAATTCAGACCCCTTTCCGACATCTGTTGATGGATATCTGAATACCTCCTCCCCCTGCCTCCCACACACACTCACTGGAGACAGAGAACAGTACTTGAAGTAAGCAAACAAGGAGGGTGGTCAGTGGTGCAGAACCTCAGCTGGGAGAGGAAGGGCTTTCTGAAACAGCAGCTCTGTCCAGAACTGTATTTTTATACACTCTGGTGTGAGACACTGACCCAGATTCAATCATTCTGTCAGTCTTCTCTCAGAGGACAACGTTTCTTTTTCCCATCTCACTCTGCACCTCCTCTAGTCTGACTATAGCCTCCTTCAGCATGAATAAGCAGAACCGTGCGAGGCACTGTGCACAAGATCCTAGCAGAGATGCGATGGACTAATGCTTTCTGATATTTAATGAAAATATTTTTCCTGGTAGGCAGTTGGTGTTTCACAGTGGTACCACACCTGTACAATCATGATTGACATGATGTGATAGCACTCTGTCTAGTTGTGATGTATTTAGCCTGTGATTCACTAGCATATGAAATAATTTTTGTTCCCTGTCCCTTTCGTGGAATAAAATCTGACCTATTTGTAGAAATTTGTTTTCTTTTTTCTGTGCTGTAGATAAGTCTGCATCTTATTAAGTGAAGTGAAGTTCCATTTCCACTACTTCAGCCTGACAGCTCTTCCTCATGCTGAAGTTTGGAGACCAGCCAGGTGGAAAGGGACCTAGGAGTTGGGATTGACAAGAAGCTGAACATGAGCCAGCAGTGTGCCCAGGTGGCCAAGAAGGCCAATGGCATCCTGGCCTGGATCAGGAAGTGTGGCCAACAGGTCCAGAGAAGTGATTCTTCCCCTGTACTCAGCACTGGTGAGGCCACACCTCAAGTACTGTGTCCAGTCTTGGGCCCCTCAGTTCAGGAAGTATATTGAGGTGCTGGAGCAGGTCCAGAGAAGAGCAACAAGGCTGTTGAAGGGACTCAAGCACAAGTCCTGTGAGGAGGGACTGAGGGAGCTGGGGATGTTTAGCCTGGAGAAGAGGAGGCTCAGGGGAGACCTCATCACTCTCTACAACTGCCTGAAAGGAGGTTGTAGCCAGGTAGGCATCAGTCTCTTCTCCCTGGCAACTATCAGTAGGACAAGAGAGCACTGTCTTGAGCTCTGCCAGAGGCAGTTTAGGTTGGATATTAGGAATAATTTTTTTACAGAGTGAGTAATTAGACATTGAAATGGGCTGCCCAGGGAAGTGGTGGATTCACTGTCCCTGAAGGTTTTTAAGATGAGACTGGATGTGGCACTTAGTGCCATGGTCTGGTAACCATGGTGGTAGTGGATCAAGGGTTGGACTTGATGACCTTGGAGGTCTTTTCCAACTATAGAATCAACCACAGTTGATTCTATGATTCTATGATTCTAATTATCCAAATATAGTTAGCCAAAACCAGCTTTTGGGATGACAGTCTTTAAGACTGGTACCAAGATAGATAGATCTCTGATGAGCTTTCTGCAAACTTCCCTCCACCCTGATAGCTCTCTTTTACAAATCTCATTCTGTTGTCTCCATTTTAAGCAGTTCTTATGAAGCTCAGTCTTTGTACTGAATTCTTCTGTTTACTTGTGACTCCCTAAGAAATGTTTTAATTTGATCCAGATTAATTAGTTCAACAATATTTTCTTTCTTTGTTTGTTTAGGAAACCAATTACTTTCAGAAAAATGAAACTAGGTTAATATACTACAATCTGCTTTTTCCAACTCTATAGCATATTTTCTCCCTTTTCCATGTTATAGTCATAATTAATCATCTTTCCACTTAAAAGTTATTCTTACAGCATTTCATGCTATTGAGCCCAGATTAACAGTCCACCATTCCTGGGTCACTTTTATTCTTTTTCCTAAATTCACGCACTGAATTTCCATTCACCACTCACCAAGAATGTAGTGCTCTCTGAAGATGATGGTTAACTGCAGTCTTACTTTTAAATCTTTCAGAAGTCAAAAGGAAATTATCCAATGTCTTCCAACGTGAGCTCCTGAAAATATTCAAAGCATACTGCTGTGTGGGCTTATTTCTATCAGTCCCACTAGTTTCCCCATTTTACATCATACCTTGAGCATGCAGTGTTGTTTTACTTTCATCACATATCTGCAAGTACCATTTGCAGGAAACCCAAGGTAGTGTGTGGACTGAATGTTAATATCCATCCAGATCCATATGATAGTGGTCCTGGAATGACACCTGCTGATACATTTCTTCTTTAATTTCACAGAGATGTCAGCTGCACACAAATAGTTTCAAGCCATTCATAGAGTAGACATTGCTCATGCAAAAACTTTGGAGACTCCTGTCTTACAACAACGATGCCTCAAAAAAGCAATGGTTTTGTTAGGAACTTCACATGTAATATGGCAAAGCCGCTTCTGAGATATTTAATTTTCTTTTTCTGAAAAGCCTGACCACTACTTTGTCCTACTGTGACTTTACAGGAGTTGATGAATATAAAAACTAATCATTCAAATATTTCTTGATATACTTTGCGGGGGATTTATCAGATATGCATGCATTTCAACATTCCCCCATGTTAGAGAAGTAAATATAGAGACTGCACTTTTAGAAATTTTGATAAAAATTAACTGACTCTCATGCCTTTTAGAGCTGATTTGCAATTGGGGATTTTTTTTCCCTGTATTTCATTTTATGCTTTTTTTCCATTCCATACAGGTCCATCAGTTCCTATTTTTTTTCCATATTATGGGTTCTCCTTGCCCAGCTGCCATCTCTGGGCCCCACTGTATCCTTCAATAAGTCTGAATGACCACATTTCAGGTCACTGTGACCTAATTCCAAGTGGATGGAGCAGACTTTTAGCCGAGATATCCTCTACAAGATTGGGAAACTTCTTCCTTTCCCTGCCTCTCCCAAGATGCCTGCCTTAACTGCTAAACTATTGCTAATGTTCCCAGTGGTGTCTTCATTGCAAAAACAGGCTGAGCAAAGAAAGAAGTAAGATTCATATGTTCTGAAAAACATCAGCTGACCTTTGCTGAACTATCTGTGTTATTTATTATTACCCAGGTAGCTTGTTACTGCCAGAACTCTGGCTATCTCAACAATTCCCCTGAATATGTTTAAATTCAGAGTTCCCCCAAAGACTAGGAAAGTAGTATATAAGTCTGAAAGGAAAACACTTCTTATCTTTGACTTTCCAGCTAATTATTTTTCCTGAAAACATGAAAGGTTGAAGTTCCTATGCCTTCAAGGTCTTGTCAATGTATGTAAGCTATAACAAGACAGTTCTATACTAATATCAGTATAACTGTCTTTATAAACACTTGGCTAATATGATAATTCCTTCCTTCCTTCCTCCCTTCCTTCCTCCTTTCCTTCCTCCCTTCCTTCCCTACCTTCCTTCCTCCCTTCCTTCCCTCTCTCCCTTCCCTCCTTCCTTCCTTCCTCTCTTCCTTCCCTCCTTCCCTTCTTTCCCTCCCTCCCTGGAAGTGTTGCAAACTAAAGCAAGAAAAGGACATGGGAAAATATACAATATAAACAATATATGCAATATATACAATATATACAAAATATATTTTTTTCTGGAGAAAAAAAATCTGTAAGCATAGCCATTTTATCTATAAAATTTATGTAGTATCATTCACACTGGAATGACAGTCTAAGCCAAACTGTAAATTCCTTTATTTACTTTCAGGAATTTGTATTGATAGCTGTGTGGATCCTTTTAGCTTCTTCCTACACCTGCTTGTTCTTTCTGAGCTTGGGATATAGCCCTACCAAAGCAGTAGGAAAACAAGAGGCACCTGATGCAACCCCCACCCTTAGGCAGGGCTATTTTGAGGGAAAACAGATTTTATTTATGAGACTTTCTTTATTTATGAAGTAGATATGTGCAAAATAAGATCAGTTGGAGGAGATGGCTGGAGTAAAATGTGATGCCCTCTCTTAACCACTCACTCAGCATTGCTGTGGGGCCTTCGAACAACAGCTTGCGTACTTCAGCCAAGGTGGTTTGAGAGCTGCCTCGGAAATCAAAGGAACACTTCAGTTAAACACATGCAGGAGCTTCCTCTTATACAAGGGCAATCAAGGTCTCACTGACTGCTTTGCCCAGGATGTTCTGGCAACATTTGAATTCTCTTCAACCAAGAGGAAAATGTGACCATTAAGATGCCATGTTGGCCTCACAGGACTTACCTCCACCAACAAGAAATCAGGTGAGCTGTTCACTTGGATGAATGAGTAAGCCCCATTTAGACAGAGGCATAGGCAAGGAAATCCTGCAATACCATCCACGTGCACCATCAGTAATTAACAAATGCTGCAAACCATAACCAAAGAGGTGTTAAGTAAGTCCCTGACTTTGGCTGTTTCTTGAAAGCTATGGGACCTCACATGCATTCATATGACTTTATTGATTCCGATGGTTTCAAAAGGATGCTACAAGAGAATAGTCTGGTTTGGTATCCACTACGTAAAAACACACTCTTACATGTCACATATGTTTAAAGCTCTTTACAAAGTGATATTGCAAACTCCTTTTTCAGTTACAGAAATAGAGGCACAGGAGTGATTTGCCCAAAGTCATACAGGCAGCTAACAAAGGGCATGGGGTTATACCCACAGCTCCTGACTCAGAGCATAGCACCTCACTGTATAAAACCTTTGGCCTCTTTTCTTTTGTGCACATGCCTGTAGTTAATGAAATTACCTGCTCTTCATTTTCCAACAACACGCTGAACTCTAGGAAGGAAAGCAGGAGGGATCAGCTTGTGTTTCAACTCTGAAATTTCAAAAGGTAAAACTTGTATACTGGGATTTGTGCATATTTGAAATCTGTTATGCAAACAGTATTAACTTTCATAAATTTGAATTCTAAAATTTTATACCACATACTGTCTTTTTTGGATGTATTTGAATCTGTTTGATCTAAAAATATCCTTAATCTGTGAGGATAATACCGTGTGCCAGAGACGTAATGGTATATAAACCTATAGAAGTTATTTTCATGATACATTTTTTTTTGCTTTCAAAGACATTTGGAGCTTGAAATGTTTTTGACTTTGGCCCCAGAATGATGTTACATCAGTCCAACTTGTGACGTCAGCTTCTAATTAACTGTGACACAATGTTTTGCCACCAGTGGACCAAAACATGACTTGTGATGTTCCACTGTTTTCTCCTCTTTCTATTCATTGGTTCCTAAACAATTAGAAAAAATTCATTGATCCTGTAAGAATGGTATTTTCATAATGGACGAGTAATCCTGCTAGATTATACTGTATTAAACTAGATCATACTGTATTAGAAACCAAATACATATGAAAAGAATTTAATCAAATAATTCTTCTTCAATGAAAATTCTTCTCTCTTTCAACCAGATCTTTTAATGAGCTTTGTCTTTTCTTGAATTTCTCTTCTGATATATATACAAGCAATTTATATTTCATGAAACATTATAGCCAGAAATTAGATCACCAGCTCTTCCAAATGAAACACAAGGGTTTACATTTTCAGAAAACCTGTATTTCATAGGATAATTAACCAACATATAATAAAAATGTACACAACTGTCAGATGTTTAAGTGGGAGGCAACACCAAAAGGAAAGGCTTCGTTTCTTCGGTTGGCTTTGAAAATTGGAATATATCTTTATGTTTCATATTGTAACAGATAGTAAAGTAGGAGAGGGTTTTTTTTCTCAGCATAGAAATCTCTGACTAGTAATAGTAACTAAAATATACCCAGCATGCCTCCTTTCACCCTAAAACACCACCACAATCACCAAAAAAAAACCAAAAAAGGGAAAAAAATAATCAAAATCACATGACTAAAAGATTTTGTCTTATGTTGTATGAACTATGACAGAAAAGTCACGTGGTTGGTTCTTGTTTACACTCTATAGTTTTGTTACAAAGAGGGGGATAAAATTCTATTAAACGTTCAATAACTTGGAGGACAGATCATCAACTAGCTCTCTGGGCTCCTTATGTGCGTGCTAGGTCCTCTGCCCTTTACCTCATGGTTTCAATGACAGAGTTAAATTTAATGTCTCTTGTCTCCTTTCTTTGCAAGTTTTTCAAAGCTAATGCCTAGCACTTCTCCTTTCTAGACTCCTCACAAGTTGCAATGTCTTGATTGTGCATGTAAATGAACCTGGCAATAACACCTTGCAAATGGTTATGTTGAAATAACTACAAACGGATATAAACTCAGCCATTTAAGAAATTTTATCCCCCTCTCCTCCAGCAGTTCCATACCTGCAGCAGTCACAGCACAGCACTTGGCTAGTGCTACATCTATCAAGCTCAAGAGAAGATAATAAACCACTTGGTTTGCACATATTGCCCGAGTACCTCCCTGGGAATAAGATCTGGCCTGTGATCCGCCAGCTGGCTTATACTTTGTGTCTTTTAAAAAGATCAGGTCTTTTTAGGTACCTGGCCCTGCACAATTTGCATTACTGAAGATTTTAAAAACAGATCTTCTATAGCTGCAATTTCTAACCAATCATCAAGAAGTATGTACAGTGAGGTACAAACTAGCTTTCTGATAAAGTTAGACTCTAATAACTGAATGAACATAAATGCTGCCATTAAGCCTAGGAGACAGGCTTCTTCAGAAATGTGAACATATCTCAAGCTCAAACATAACTTATTTTGTAATTCATAAAAGTTTTATTTTCAGTTTTTTACTGCTTGTATTTTACTTGCTTTTCTTTCATCTCTGAGTTGTGATATGTGTATAAGTGAAGCAGCTTAAAGCCACCAAATGAGGCTTTCTGAAGGGCATAATAAATTTTCCTGGGATCAGGTAATAGACTCAGAAATGTTCTCTGTAAGATCAGCTCTGCAGTTCCAGAAAGGCTGGGTGAGTGTGTGAGCTTGAAAATATATAACACTGTAGGAAGGAAATCTGCATAAGAAACTGAGGAATATTCTCTGAAAGAAAGTTCCATGCCCCAGTTACCCCATCGTCAGCAGTATAGATTGCCAAAGCACGTCAGTGTGCTATATAGAGTCTGTACTTGCACTTCACACATTAGCAGAGGCACTGAAACTCGCTTCTGCTTAAGTACCTGTGGTGTTTGTGGGACAAACCATAATCTACTTCTCACTTTGACTATCTCTGAGACTTCTCTGACAGCTCTGAAAACAGATTTCATTCCTGGCATATTAGCAGAGCCAAAAGCAACAGTTAGATCTCACCATTACCTACAGCTGATTTCCTAGCAAAAGCAATCGTTAAACACAATTCAACTTGGACTTTCAGTCTTCTGGGAAAATGACTTGTTCTTACGTCTAGCAGTAACAAGTGCATGGTTCATAGGCACACAAGAAAAATATGAGCACTGAAAAATGTTCTATCGTGCTAACAAGTCCTACACCTTACTGTCTAGTGTTCAATTACTGCGGTGTTCCTTGAGAGCATCCCTGTTGTTTCTCAGCATTCATTTTGTAAGCTAGTAAACACCCTCCTTTCTAGTTTCCTCTCATAAGTTACATTTGTGATTACTCCAGTCCTCCTTTCTCTGTGGCTGTTCTTCCATGTCTCATGCTTTTACCTGACTGACTGTGCCTGTACACAGGCATACATCTATATATAGCCTCCTAGCTGCCTTGAGAAATGGATGAAAACATTTGCTGACATTTGCTTTTTCCATACTCATATCACATTGATTCTTGACAGAAATTCTAAAAATTAGCATCTATATACAAGTACATTTCTCATTTCCAAAGGATGATCCCAAGTTTGTAGAATTTCCCATTTGCTCCTTGCACTTTGCATTATTTGCTCATTTCAACTATTTCAGACCTGTTGGTAGGGGTTTTCTTAATTATTTCTGTCAAAGTCCAGCCTTTTTTTCTTCTGCTGTTGCTGTTGAACCTTGTATTATCTGCTCATATTATAAGTATACAAGATTATTACAAAGCTACTAATTAATTAGTGGTCACAAGATCAGTTCTGAGGGAATCTCACTACTCACTGCCTCCAGATGAATGCCTCCTCATCCAGCATAGCCTATTTTAGCAGCAGAACACCGATTTATATATGCATTTCTAATGGCATGGTATCTTCCTGCAGTCAAGTCTTTGGTTTGGTCACAGTAATTAAGACCTCTCAGATACCAAGTACCTCTATAGCCTACAGCACATCATCCACCACTTTCAGAGCACGGTGAAATATGTGAGCTGTGAAGCATCTCTCAGAAATACACCATTAATCAGTCTGTACCTGTAAGCATGGCTATATCCTTAATAGTTTGTACTTGCACACAGCAGGGCTGTGTCTGATGCAGCTTCCCCTCTCCAGGCCTGATCCTGACCCCACCCATGGGCTGACATCCCAGCCTGTCCTTGGTTGGCTCCCATCTCCAAGGAGGTGCCTGATACCCAGGACTACCCGTTTCCCCTGGCTGCTTAGAATTCCTAACTGGAGACCTGGGATAGGCTCTGGATGGTGAGGTCCTACCGTACCACCTCAGGGGACCACCACATCTCCTGTCCTCAGGGAATCGCTGGTCCTCACAGTGTCCTAGCAACTACTGAAGTTAAGATGCATCTCTTTGGTGTCAACTGCTTTGCCTGTTTCTGTCTCAACATGTGTTGTGTTTGTCCATACGTGTTTTCCATGGGTCTGATATCACATAATCATTTTTATTGCCCACAGTTCTGCATACCACGTAAGCCAGAGTTATGAATGGAACCATCTACATGCTATATTTCATGCCAGCTGGCATTTGGAAGTGAAATATTGTATTTTGTTGGAATTAATTCTTTTACTCATTTTATCTGTTCTATATTCATGTAAATATGAATATACTACCAGCTTTTCCCATTATTTTTTAGGGACACCATGAGCTATGTTGTTTAAAGTTTTATAGTAAGAGAAGAGTAAAATCTAAGCAGGGAAGAAATCAGTGATTTAAAAAACAATAAATTGAAGTGTGCATTTAGGTCTGAATGCAAATCGGGTAAAATATCACCGTGGTTCATGTGGTACTGGTGAAGGAATTAAAATACTTTCAGTATAAGCCAGACAAGATGTTTTGTGCATGGGGAATGGTATGATTTCAGGGCTCCCATGTTAGTATAACATAGAGGTCTGTCTAGCAAATAGTCATTGCATACAAACATGAACATCATGTGCTCACAACCACACATTTTCCTGTTTCTGAGGAAATAAAAATGGGAAAATTTTTTGGTCTGGGCTAAGTAGCCAATACTGAGACCAAATTTAAAGGTAAAGGATTGAAATTGTCAGGATATAGGATGTACATTCATTTGCATTGAAACCTCTTAAAATCGCATGATTGAATGGTAACATTATGTCCTATCACCTTTGCATTGTTCAAGTGGAAAAGAGAAAGTTATGTTATAGATAACCTTGGCTCCATCAGAGATGGCTGTAAAATAGCCCTGTTCACCTCTGGGGAGGCAGCAAATGAAAGGTTATGTTAGAAACTGTACACCAGTGATAACATGTTTTTGGACTTCTTAGTACCTAGATTCTCAACCCAAGTCTAGGACAGAGGTGGGATTTTGCCACGTCAGAGATTAAGGAAATATCACTTCCCTAGGCTGCTCCTGCCATTAAGGGAGGGATTTGGAGCCCAGTGCCACGCTAGCAAATTTTACAAGGGGAAGAAGCTGCAATGGCAGGAATTGGGGATGCCAGTCAATCTGTATTTTCACCTAACATGTATGATAGCAAGGCAAGAAAGGAAAAGAAACTCTGCCTGTTTTTATGTTTTTGCTCTCTTTCAGTTCTACAAATGTGGCAAGCCAACATCCTTTGCAAGCAAGGATCTGCCTCAGGTTTGGTACTGGATTATTTCCTTTGAAGAGGGAGTCAAAAAATATATACATCCATTTGCAAATATAAGCTAAAGGCCAATTGCTAGCATGTTCAACAGCACTTTAGACAGCTGCTTCAAATGTGATCCATTCATTAACCAGCAGAAGAAGCATAAAAAACTCTAGAGAATATTTTATGGTTATCTGACAGGCTGAATGTATGGCAGTAGCTGTAAAAGACCTCAGCAAAACTGAGAAAAGTTGGTGGATTTCAAGTCAGAACACTCACCTGTTGCTCCAAAATTACCTTTTTTGCTATACCACATATTACATATGGTAACTCTGGCAAATACCTAGTTAGTGGATGTGCAAGTAAATTTTTGCGGGCATGCAGTAGGATACTATTAAACCTCATTTCTAACTTGTTAAGTAAAATAAAATGGGTGACAGGGAATCCATCCCTTTCTGTATGGCAGTTGACTTCAGGGACACGCTCCAATCAAAACTCCAGTCTGCATTCCACTCTTCCTCTGCCCTTCAGAGAGCAGACTCCTTAGACCTTGCAATACCCTCCCAAAGAGAAAAAATAAGCTTAAACTGCCAATGATGGTGTCCTGATTGACACAGAGATACAGCTACATCACAGTACACATTACTAATTTCCCAGAGATCTAAAGATGTGAGGGTCAAATCAAAGCCACTGCAATACTGAATGCAGCAGCAGACAATTTTACAAAAATGAGAGTGCTCATACATTTGTTCAGTTTTTTTGCTTATCAGTCCCATCAATAAAACCCTAGACTTCTTTTCTTTCCCCTTTGCTTTTATTTGCTTCCCCCTGTCCCTCATATAGCAGATACAGGTGTTTTGGATACAGATTGTGGGCTGGTTACCTAATTATGCATAGGGAAGCTAGCATTGTGCTAATATAGTAAAAGTCTATGACACTGTCAGTGTCTCCATTAAACTACTATGGTAAATAAAGTAGTATGGGACTTTTTTATGAACCTCTTTATCTTGCGTACTTTTTTCCCTCCTCATATTATCTATATTCCCATAGAGAGAATAGTTGCTTACTACAAAAGAATTCACAAGGCTGGAGGTTTTATTACCATTTGAATAGCCAGAAACATTAAGACATCATTGGTGACAACAGTGACAACTAGCCAAAGCAGGAGGGAAGTGATATTTTTCCATTATCTCTTTCTTTTTATTTAAGTTTTCTCTCTTGAAATGAGAAATGAACAGTTCTTTTCTATCTTGAAAATATTTCACAGTATTCATTCTTCAGCCTTACTCAAAGACTTATCTAAGGATATGCTCCTTAATCCTATATATTTGCTCAAATAAGTAGACCTTCACTGAAATACATAGAATATTATAATTGTATAAAATTAATCTACCTATCTATATTCAGAATGGAATGTTAAGTGAATAATGTTATTACAGTTGAGTAAGTCAGTACTAGGAAAAAATGTTTCTGATTTATTTTGCTATTTTTCCCAGCCTGAGTACTGGGCAGCCCATTCCTCAAGTTTATTGTTGCTTGATGAAGAATACAATGGGTGAACAAATCTTGAAAGCCAATTCTGCAGCTATTTAACTTTACACTTTTGAGTGGGTTGCTGACAGCTTGTTAAGTTCAGCATCAGATTAAGACTGCAGAGTCCTAGTCTAGAGCTGCTGTTAAGTGACTCATTAGGAACATTTAACAGTCAGAATTTAGACTGTTCTTTAACATTGATTGATATAAAGCATATGATTTTTTTGTTTTAACGAACACAAGTGTATTCCAAAGTCTACAACTCATAATAGCAAATGTAAAATTGTTTCCTGAATACATTTTATTTTTAGCAAACCCAATACTATTCACCTGTAGACCTTCCTCTGTAAATTACCTCGGATACAACTTGCTTGATATGGAAAACTTTGCCTCGGAGAACTTTATCAGAGAAAAAGAACATTATGCTCTAATTGCCAAAAAGCATTATGGTGATTCAAAGAAGAGTCAGCTTAACATCATCTCATCAAAAAGGTAATATCTAATTTTTGACTGAAATATTTTGACTAAAAAAAGTAATTTTTTACTTTTTTTTTTTTACTTATCTTCATTTTTAACTTTTCCAAATTACAGGTTTTCCAAGCATAATGTTTTATTAAATTGTTCGCCTAGACAACAGAGTGGCAGAAGGTATTGAGATTTTGATGAAATGCAGAGTAATACACAAGGGAAACTTCCCATATAAGCAGAAACAAATTATGATGGTTTCTAAATTAGCTATCACCATTCAGAAAATATTTGACTGCTTCTCTGAAAACACTAGCACAATGATCTGCAATTATCATAAAGGCAAATCTAGTGTTCAAAGCTGTTGAGAATTGCATGGGGAACAACATAGAAAATATCTTTGCGCTGCTTTATAAATCTCACATGCTCACATGCTCATGCTCACATCTTGAACACAATCCAGTTCAATCTATTTGGAAACAGTATGGTGTAGTTTTAATGTCATAGTAAGGGTGATTAGAAATACAGAACAGATTCCATGTGCATATAGCCTCTAGCTCTTAATTTTGGAAAAAGCAGGACTGAAGGAATTCACCAAAGAGGTCTACACAATCTTAACTAGCAGACATGCAGTAGTTCCAAGCTATTTTGAGTGTAAGAACTAAAGGTACCCCAAAGTTTTTAATAAAAAGAGCAACAAATAAAACTGCTTTTATGCAACTTACAAATAAATTGTAAAACTCATTATTGCAAGATGTAGAGGTGAGTGAGAGTTTAAACATATTCAAAACTGTTTCAGAAAACTCCTGGAGAAAAATCTGCTGGTGTGGTGTTAAATGTGGTGGAAGTGGTACAACATATCACATTTGGCAATTCTAAAGAAGGTGGCTAAGGGCACTGAAGAAGAACCACCCTTTCTATTCCGTTTCCTATGTTCATCCTAAAAAATTGCAGCTGAATCCTGTAGGAAGGAACATTTGGGGGTTCACAGACTTTTGATGTGACCCAGAATGCCACTTCATAGATCCTTAAGAAATAGAGGATCCTTAAGAAATACCTTCAGGGGGTTTTTGAGACCCAAAATGAATTAATCTTTTCACGACTAGTATATTTGTTATTCTAATTCATTCTTATACAATTTTATGATCAAAGTACTTACTATTGCCAAGATTTCCAAACACTGCAGTTGTAAAAACAATAATCTAAAATTCAGCAACAACCTTGGTGAACACTGTATTTAAAGCTGCTGATAAAACAGGCTTATTAATTATTACATATGTTTTACAAGAGTTTGGTCCTGGAGCCATCAGCATAGTTCATCACACAAGACATTTTTAATAAATTCAACTGTCTTTGCAGAGTGGGCTTGCATTTCTTAAACATGTTTGGAGTCTGAAAATGGGCAGAATTCCCTAGTTTGTGTGACTGTAAATTTAAGCAATGGCCTGTGATAGTTGCTGTCTCTTCATTCCTTTCATAAGCCAGATTGCTGAAATCAGAAACCTGGATACTCTAGTGTTCTATGAGATGTGTTTTGTCACTTTTCCTTCAGTCAGTGACTGTGAATCAGCTTTTCAGATGGAGTAAACAATACTTCATTGGTATCAGTGGTGCTACAAGAGTTCACACCAGCTGGGATTCTGATCCTTCCAGTTCAGATGGGAAACGGAGATTAT